GCAGGGTTCCCATGGTAGTCCAACAATGGCAGGTCTTAAAATAAAAATAGCTGCATTACACTCCAGAAGACCGGTTTTACAGACCATATTACCTACTGTGTTGTGTGATAAGGGGAAATAATTCAACATAAAGGAAGCCCTTAGTAGCAGTTGTTGCATCACTTCTGTGTGACTGTGGCTCAGATATGACAATAAGCAACTTCCTGCTCTGGCCATGAGTTGCACTATGTTGTGAATCTCTTGGGGGGACTTGGGTACCCTTAATCCCTTGATTCATGGCCGAGTGTGTGGAGTTTAGATCATGCTGCATCTTGCAGGATCAACCATTCAAGCTCTTGTTGCTAATTAATATATAAAATACTGTCACGCTTTGTGATGTTGCTACAGAAGAAGCATGATCTGGAACACTCAAATCTGGAAGATAACTTGAGGTCCCTTCCAGTCTGTGCATGTATCATTCTGCCTGGCACAAAAAGAAACCTGTAACTCAGCAACACCAACAAAAGTCTTTTTTAAAATTGTATTGAATATTAGATTTCTGTGCACAGCAGTTGCAGGTAACGTTCATCTCTGTATTTATAACTGACGAACTATGGGGAATTCTGTGGTACACAGTAAGTTACTTTAGCCCTCAACCTAATACTGAAATCGTTTGCCTAGCTACAGAGAAGCTCATTTCCCCTACTTTGCTGGCAGCAACACACAGAACATCCAACGAGAACCGATTTCTTTGCTTCTCTGTCCTACTTCGCGTGTTGTAGTTGAGTGTAGCCAGGAGTCCATCCCAATTTCTGTGGGACTGTACATCAGACAGGGACAGCTGGAGAACTTAACATTCCCATTATATCTCTGGAGCCCTTTTCTGCTGCTTTGGAGAAGGAAAATATGGTAATTGCTTTATACTTGTCTGGAGAAAAAAATCTAGCCTAGTTTTTAGGATTTGAGTTTGTAATGGGTCTAGTTCCCTACTATCCCTGCCACAAATTTACTCTGTGAATTAAATTAATCCTTTAGTTTTTCTATGCCTCTTTGTGCCCCCCGTGAAATGGAATAACAGCATGTGTGGTACTGGGTAGGCAGAGTACAGAAGGAGGTTATCAAATGCTTGGATTTGATACCAGCAAAGGTGGATAAAAGAGAGTGTCCAGCAGAGATTTTTGAGAGTGTTTTTTTCTCTCTTTTTGATCCTACAGAAATTTCACACGCTACTAACATGAAATAACACTTTTTTTTTTTTTCTTATGACAACGGTAACCTTAGGTAAGGAAAGAGGATTATATTTCTCTCATTTCTTAGCTACTTAATAAGGATATAAATTACATTCTAGAACCAGTGAGTTGCCTTGGAGCAAAAATCATCTTTTATTCTACTATTGTTTAAAAATCCAACAATGCACTATGATAATTTGTTACTGTGCCACCCAGGCAATGCAAAGGAAGTCAAGAAAGACCACTTGGAAACCATTTGGAAAAAATTAGTTTCATGGGGATATTTTTAGCCTTTGGATATATGTTAAGAGCAAACTTAGTACTCTGTTATTCTTCTGGGTCTTGCATGAATTGTGATTCTAAGCATTGCTAAATGTATTACTTTACCATTGTTTTCAGATTGGTCATGGGCTTGTTGCAGAAAACATTGCCCAACTTTATTTCTTCAGAATAAAACCTTAAATGAACCATTGGTGAAAATATTTGAATCACACTTTCCTAGAAGTGCACTGCATATTTGAAGAAGTCATTTCCTGCTCTCTTTTTTTTCCTTTGTACAGATGCTGATAGCATTGAATTGGAATTAATGTAAGGGCATTCTTCCATAGTAATTGCATTAGGAATGAATATTTGCCATTTGTTAAACAGTGGCATGGAAAAACACAAAGGAAGGTTAGTTTGAGCAACCTGGTCTAGTGGAAGGTGTCCCTGCCCACGGCAGGGGGGTTGGAACTAGATGATCTTTAAGGTCCCTTCCAACCCAAACCGTTCTATGATTCTATGATTCTAGTAGGGTAGCTTTTTCTACTCATCATAGCTGATGCATATTTTTTGTACCAGTTAAATTGTTTGGCATTTTACTTCTTTCTTACAATAAATTATTTAATTTATTTAATACTATACGGTGTAGAATTAACTCTATTCTAGACTATTCCAAACTAGACTGTTCTGTTGAAGTTTTGTAAGAAGAATAGTTGTGCCTGATAAAGGAAGCTTTGGATAACTGATACCATGCCTGGTTTATGTTTAAACTCAAAGACAATATAAATTCTGGAGAAACTAATGATGTATCATATAGGTCGTATAATAGAAATGATTACAATTTTCGAATTGCTTTACTTATTAATTGTATTGCAGCTTTTTCAGCCTTTGGGTGTTAGTTAAGAGCTACAGAAATGATTCAGTTTACTTCTGAGTTTTGCATAACGTTAGTTCTACATAATTCTTGGGTTTTTCAAATCATGCTCATTTAATCACTGAAATACTGTAGCACATCAGCAAGCTCTAATAAAAATGCTTATATGTGTTTAATGACCATGTTTTTGAAGTTATTGCTTTTATGAGGTGTATAGCTCATTTTTAGCTTCCCTTTAGAGGAATAATAATTAATGAAGATAGAGACAGTCTTGTATATGCAAACGGCACATTATAGAGACATTTTATTTGCCATTAAGTCCAATCATTTCAAGGATATTGCCATTTTATCTGATAGTCAAAAAATATTTATGAAGTTCTAAAGTCACTTTAAGCTACTGTGGGCAAAGATAGAGAAATATTTATTGTGGTTGTTCACATTTTTTTAATCATACTTTGAAGTGGAAGGTGACATCAGCATTCGGTAAAATCTCAGCTCAGTTGCTGAGTTTGTGGCCATTGTAGCTGGTGCTTGGTTGTAGTCATTGCACTTGGGCTCTGGACCAGTTGGGAGAGTCCAGAGCGGGGAAGGAGAGGACGATCTAAAGCCTGAAGAACATGACTTGTGAGGGAAAAGTAGCAAGAATAATCTCTCATTGTGGATGTGAACAGAGTGTGAAGTAACGGATGAAATCGAAGCAAGGGAAGAAAAAAAAGGACTAACTGTATTGGAAGAAATAGTGGAGGAGGTCTGGAGAGTGGGAAAGAACTAAGTGATGTGGTTCATTCTAGTCTTATTTTCTACAATTCAGTAGGTTAGAGATGCCTCTGTTGTAAGTGTCCCTCTCTGTAACTTTTGTGAGATCTGCTCCCGGGACGTTGCCAGGGATCCCACATTTACAGAGAATGGTAGAGAACAAGGTAGAGCACATTTTGTGGAGTAATTGCTCCTACTTCTCATGGGCAACTTTTGAGAGGAGGTGCCCTTATGACTGCTTTGTTCTGTGGAAGCTGGTAATGTCTGGTGAGGAGGTCCCTAGCACTCAGGTCTAAGTAAGTAATGTGAAGTAGCCAGAACAGAAATGGGATTTAGGTGGAGAGCTTGATGCTTCAGGTAGATTGAACATCTTTACCTTCTGTTTGTCTACTGGTTTTGTGCCCAGATGTACTGCAGCGAAGGTGGGGTACATGGGTATTACTAACTGTGAGAGCAGGCAGTTTTGATGTTTTATGGTACTGAGAAGCTCCTGTCATGCCGTCGTGCTTGTGATCTTGCTAGATGTGCTGAAGTCCAGTTATTTTGTTTACTTTATTTTTACTAGTTTATATATTCATCCAATTCTGTGACATGTAGATCAGTCTGTAAAAAACAACTAATAGCAATTACAAATTTTGAAATGACAAGGCTTTTCTAATATTTTTTGTAAAAAAAAAATTTCCAAATAAATAAAACCTTTGTTTCTCTCCAATTTTGTTTCTTCTTCTTGATAAGAAATATATGAATATAATAAATGTTTCACTGATGAAATTTTTTTTGACTGAGAAATAACAAATGTTCTTTTTTTGACATGCAGTTTCTTTTTGAAAAAGTAATAAATCTTTAGTAATTTTTATTAGATAATTGGTACCTGTTCAAATCATTCAGATACATCTGCAGTATTTGAGTTATAATATTAGAATAGATTTTTATTAATTTCTTCAGGAGTTGAAAAACTTGGGGTTTAGAGAACATTGTAAGAAATACCCTTCCAGAAATCTGTTGACAGTCTAAAAGCATCTTTTATATAAGCTAGTAAAATGGTAATTCAACCTAATAACTAGGAGAACAATGGCATTTTGCTAACCTTTTTAAAAATCATAAATGAATGAGAGACTATAATAAGATTAAAAAATACAGGGTTATGACATTAATGTGTGCTTTGTTCATTTATTTGACAAGTGTTTTTGTTCTAATTATGTAAGTTCCAAATATACCAGTGAAAGCATTAGTGAAATTAGATTTCATTACAGTTCCCAGCTACGGAGTAGTTAAAATGAAGAAAACCTACTTTCTTTAGGTCCAAATATGGCACTGCATAGTGTGAATGGATGAGGAGTTCTGTGACAATTCCGTAACAGTCCTTGAAACAATATTATCATTTCAGTTTAATTGAATCAATGGGGTTTTTTACATCTTTTTCTGGCTTGTTTACCAGAAAATCATTACACTTTACTTAAGTGGCTGTCTAGCGTCCTCATAGTATTTATCCCTCTTTCTTATTTAATTATGTCTGTTGAAGCTTTCAGGTAGTTTCTTGGTGGATGCTTATTGTTGTCTCAGACATGTTTTGTTCCATGTGGCTTTGAGCACTGATGAGGATATTGGTTCTTTCAGTAGCAAGTTGTCATTTGCTGACATTATTGCTGACAAAATTAATTTTGAGTAATTTTTTGATGCAAAGGTGAGAGCTGTTTCCCTTGGAAAACAGGATAGCATGCTGTGTGTACTGTGTTTTTTTCAGTACATGTAAAACATCATGAAACTCCACTATTCTGATGAGTCAAGAGAGCATGGGAACTGTTCAGTTTCACAGCAAAGAAAAGGAGGTTGAATACTGACACCTGAACCATTAAAGTGTCTTTTCTCCCTGTAATCTAACTCTTGCTATATTGGTTCAGCTAGGATTGTGTGTTAGCAGAGCTTCAGCATCTGTCCTCAATGTCAACTGCTGCCTGGTCCTTCTACCAGTGTGCCGTGTTCTCTTGGCCTTCCTGCGAGGATCTCAGAAGGTAGGTACTGTCCTCAGAATGCAGCAGTTGAGAAGAAGAGGGCCCTGGTCTCTGTTTAGTGTAAAAATAATAGGAAAAAATCTGTTATATTCCTGTTTATTATACAGTATGTGCCTGCATGGTGCAAGTATCAGACATTCAGCCTAGCTTCACGACTCCTTTGAAGACAATGCCTTGGCTGGCATTGTCTGGTTTGTCTGGTTTGATTGGACTTGTAAGGAAGGTTTCTTCAACGCATTTTTGAAGGACAGGGAATTGCTGTGGAACTGTAACCAGACAAAGTCTCCTCCTTCTTTTCCAACTCTAATATAAAAGATGTCTGTGTCCTCTCTACTGCTTCTTGGTAGAATTCAACAGAGCAAAAAGAACTTTGTCTCTGCATGACCACAAGTGTCCTACTGGAGATGATAGAACTTTAAATAAAGATACCCAACCTGATATATTCGTTATCATGGGAGAAAAAAAAAAAATTCTGGCAAAGCTAAGAGGGTTTGTTTTCTGTACCAGTATTCAGTAAACAGTATTTTAGCTTGTTTGTGATTCACCAGTTGCTTTTACAGAAATAAAGGTAATGCTTTTGAGGAATGTCTGTGTTTTCTAGATGGTTGCAAATTGAACCTATGAGTTCTGTTCATCTTGTGACAGTACCTATAAGATTTGATGCCTACAGATGCGTATGTATATGCAAATATACCTTTCCCTCTGATCCTGCTCACTAAAGAGTCGGTTACGCCTACAACAATTAGTGTTGGAATTCCTAAATTTTAAGGCCAGAAGGGACATTACTTTATGTGCTCTTGACATCTATGTAATACAGATCCAACTGTAATTTCTTCATTAAGGCCTCAAAATTGGCTCATTGACATAATCCTGTGGTTTTTAAATTTAGGTACTGTGCTTGCAAGGGAGTTAAACCTAGTAAAAGCTGAAGTTGCTATTAGATCACCTCAGTTGCTGTTAGTATTTTTTTTCTTTGCTTTGTTTTAGAAGAGAGATTGCTTGAATTCTTCTCTTATTAGGTTGCCAGCAGGAAAACCAGAAGGCTGCTAGATAAAAGTAAAACTTTCCATGTGACGTGTGGTGTTACAATATGCATCTTTTCAGGTGAGACCTTACTGTGCTGAGCAGCAGCTTGTTTGGGAAACACATTGAAGCAGTACTTTGTGGTTTTTCTTGTACAGTACATTTGGGGGTAGTCTTGCTCTGTGCTTCCCTGCCTTAAATTGTGAATGCTTTCTCAGATGTGTGTGGGGTTTGGTTTATTTTTCCTTTAAACACATGGCTTACATTCTAATGCTGAGCCTTTCCTTAAAATTCCAGTTTCTAAAAGGACAGGTATATGAGATCAAGTCAAAATCTGCCATTACAAGTGACCCTCCATTGTGCCTAAAGGAATCTGAGTGAAGAAGCAGGGTGCTGCAGGCTTATCTGCAGAAGAGGGAGCAGCAGAGACATATACCCAGTTCTGTGAAGAAGAAATATTCTTGGGTGGACACCTTTGAATGTTGTCTCCCAGCTGAAGCACTGCAGTACGGAAATGATTGCTGTAGTGTTAAAAAATCTTAAAATACGTACAGCTTTCTGCCATGAATATCTGTAACCTGATTTACTTTAGAAAAAGAATTCCTTAGTCCCTGATGCATCTCATGCAGGTGATATGATTATAGCTTGGCATCTGGGTAGCCACTTTTCTTTACTTCAGGGCAACATCTACCTCTTGTTTACAGATCTCAGCTTTTCTTTGTTTTTTTTAGTCTTACATGTTGCTGCTCATCTGGTGAACGCTCTTAACTTCTCTGAGAACTACAACGAAGACTTTCTGGCACTAAACGCAGCGAACTATCGTGGTGAGGTGAGGCAGCTGTCCTTTAATATTTTGCTTTTAAGTATATAATTTAAATATATGATTATTTGTATATTCCATTCCGTTGTGTGATCCTATGATCTATACAGTGCTGCTGTTTTGTGCACTGAAAACTCACCATCATGTGCATTGCTGTGGATTTTACTTCTTTCTCTGGACAAAGCATGTATTAAGCACTTTTTGTTTAAGCCAGCAGGATTCAGTTGTATTGGATTATGAGGTGGAGAATGCTGTCATCAAGTCCTTTGACCTTGCACCCTGTTCTCCTGCTTCTCTTCTTCTGCTTCTCTCTGTTCCTTGGGTGGGCCTGGTTGAGACACTTCTGCTGCTGTTCAGGAAAAAACATTCTGCATTTGCACTACTTAGAATATAGTGCTATGTGACATATACTGGGGATTTGAGGATAGTGAGATTTGAGACTCATTTTGCATTTTTAAACTGCAGTGGGAACTGGAGTATATATGCTAAGAGTGGAATTGGTTATCTGCATGAACTGGGATGGAAGCTGATTTCCACTTACGAAATACTTGGTTTGCATGACTTCTCTGACTGTGGTGCAGATCTCTTGAAGGCATACCAGAGTCCTAGTCCCTCCTCCAGGTGCTTGCTTGTGCATTTGGCTCTGGAGAGATATTTGCAGATTTTAGGAGTAAGACCAGAATCCAGGACTCCTTCTTCTTTGGGCTACAATCAAGTTCTCTCTTGTTTATATTCATTACAGTCTCAAGTCTGCATTTCTTTTCTACCAGCTTCATTAGGAAAGATTTAGAATGACCCTATCCCAGCTGCATCCTTTCCTGGAAAAGGAGAGCTTGACTCAGCCCAGGCTCATAAGGACCAACAACCAAGGTCTTCCACTCCCTGGGTGAATGATCTAATCACCGAGCTATTCTATGGCAGACAGACTTGCCAACACCAACTATTGTGCTGAGGTTCTGGATTGAACTGCATGTGTCTGGAGTGTCTGCATGTGTTAGGAGTGGTCTAATAGACTTAGCCTCATCAGGAACATTAGCAGGAGCTTGCCTCAGGCAAGAACGTGCCAGGGTGTGCATGGCAGCCTGTACTAAGCAGCCTCAGGAATTTTGCAATAGAAAATGGAGTTAAGTTTTTAGTAACTCTAGGACCAAAACATCCTGGATTATAGGTACTCTAGTAGCTCTTGAACCTTTGAGCTTGGATTCCACTTAAACCTGTTTTTTAACTGTGGTGGGCAGTCTGGATGCTACTGTCATCTTCTGCACATGGGTGCGCACATCTGGATGCGGACAAGGTCTGTATGAAAACTGCTTACCTCCCCTCACTGCATTTTACTGCAAGTTTTAAAAAAAAAGTCTTCCTCCGCAGTGAAGACAAAACCTCATGAGGTGCAGGACTCAGGGGGAGTGAGGCAGTTTCCTGTGGGGTTGACATATTCCCTCTTCCTTTCACATGTGGTGAAGGACACAGGAACATCTGGCCTTGTATTGTCAGGTCCTTTGTGTTCAGTCCTGCTTCACTGGAGTCCACTGCAAATCTCTTGGTGATGTAACTGGCAGTAAACTGCTCACCGCTGGTCTTCCATTTAAATTCAAAATCTCTCTTCTGCTCCCCTCTGTCCTCCCAAAGGTATGAGGTAACTGAGTAAAGTTAGGCTTTCAAAAAATAATTATTTGTAAAATTATCTGGATCCTAATTTTTCATAACAGATCAGAACTGTCTTCATTGGGGGAATGCAAAGGCTAAAGGTTTAGTTTATGTTGAATTGCAGTCAGTGTAAACTGCTACCAAATACCAAATCCATTCCTGCATCCAGATTTAGGGATTGCTTATGCCATTGATCATGTGAGCTTTATGAGCTACTTATTACATTATTCATATGGATATAAAATCACATATGTTGACTTTTTTTTTTGGCCTGTCTGTTTTTCAGGACCCGAGGAAACTGCTTTTTGCTACTGGTAAGTCTGTTGCAAAACTGAATGAGGAAGTTTGCTGCTTCTCACCATCACTCTCCAGACAAAACATTTTGATCCTGTGTTTTTGCATGCTCCATTTGTTGTATCTCAGCTAGGTTGAGATGTGTTATTTGTGTTAATATAACCTGGGTTTGCTTATCCAATAGTCAGGAGGGAGGAGTTACATAAGCCCTGCAGTAGGATGAGCAGCATCTTCAAAGCTGTTGTACAGATGAGTCAGTGGAAAATCATCAGTTTCAAACAGAGATTCTGCATAATATTAAAACCAAATTCCTAAATGATCCAATTTCTAGAAAAAGAAACACAACAAAAAAGCAGTCTTCTTGCTTCAGCTGGTTTATTTAAGGGGTGGTTTGACTTCAGAGCCATCTAAACTGTTACATGGGAATCAGGCTTCAGCAGTCATAAAGAATAAATAAGCAAAGACATTTTTGGTGCAGGAATTTAGAAGAGAGCAATGTTTGGGTATGGAGGGGTAGGCACAAACCTGAGCTGTAGTGCTTCATAAGCAGGAAAAGGTCCTTTCTGAAGTCATCTCTCTTTCACTCTTATTTAGATCAAATGCAAAAAGTCCTAACTTGGTAGCATTTAGGGCAAGGTCCAAAGGAATCAATCTGGACAGCAATAAATGGGGTTCTAGACCTGTTAATCCCAATACATTTATGAGATTTGGCAGCCTGTGGGAAAGGGCTTTCCAAAAACCCTAAGCAAGGTTTAGGTCAGTTGAGAGTAGAGGTTGGAGAACTGGTGTAGTTAGTGAATCAGTGGTGGAGGCTTGAAAGAAGGTGACTCACAGAGGAGGGAGTTAAAGATGGGGAGAGAGAATCAGAACAAGCAGCTAATATTATATTTAGTATCTTAGATAAAGGAGGACTTGGGGTGAGAATGAGCGTAGAGGCCTCATCAAATATTGCACAGCTTCTGGGGACACCTTGAGACGTCTCTAGTTGAGCAGAGGACCTGCAAGGTGGAACTCCTTTTACCCTCTGATAGCCAGGAAAATACTGCATTTTCAAAAGTTTGAGCACATTGTTGGAAAAAGCAGTGATTCCAAGTCCTCTTAAATTTAAAACTACTCAGATCACTCCCCATCCTAACAACTGGTAATTAACATTTATTATTTGTGCTGTGGGAGTGCCCAGACAAGGACCAAGATTTTGCTGCACTGGGAGCTGTACAAATATGTAAAAACATGGTTTCTTCCCAAACAGTTCAGAACTAGATTTATTGGCTGGTTTTTTTAACACAGTGAAGAGAAGGAATAAGGAGTTGGAAGGATTTACAGTGTGATGGCTTCTCAGATCAGTCCAGGAAAGAACCTCCTTGCTTAAGGGTGTGAGGCTAGCTCTGGGAGGAACAAGTATTCAAGATTATAGTTAGTGGAGGAAAAGAGAGACAGGGACAGGGAGGAGAGGAAACACTAAAAATGCACTGATGAGTTGGGGCAAGGTTGTAAGTGATTTCATGTTTGCAGTTTGATGGAGAAGAGAATTGAAGGACTGGATGTAAAAGCTGAGTGACAATGTAGGAAGCTGGATCGAGTGCTGTACTGCAATTGCATTGGAAGTATTTGTGTCAGAGGGGAGATTGATTGCGCGCTGCGTATCAAATTAGATTAAGAAAGAAGAAATGAAGAAGGAGGCAACAGAAAGAATGCACATTTTCTATTGCAACTGCTTTTAATTGTAACCTTTCCATGAAGGGGTGAAATTATGTTTCTTATGCAGTCCATGACAAAACTTCCATTGATTGTAGGACCAGGGTTTTTCCTACAGTTTGTAAAACTGAGGAGTGATTTGGGCTGTATCAGATTTTGGGTACCAGACTTTTCAACAAGTGGATATTGAGAAGTTTATAAAAAGATAAGATTTGAAATTGTCTCCTTATTGCTAAAGAGTCTAAAATCACAATCAATTATTAAAAAAATTAGCTTGTTCTTATCATTAGGATGTGATCCTGTAAAAGATCCTGGACCATTAAAATCTGTGGTTTTGCTATTTACATCCATGAAAGCTGGTTGAGACGCTTGTATTCTGACACTAAAACAGCACTTACTTAGCTTTGTGCTTGGTGATTGGCCTGACTTTGTTTAAACCCAAACACGTGACCAGAGACCATGCTTAAAAACTATCATTCTTAGAGAAGTAAAAGGTTTTGATGTAATGCTTCATGGATTTTAGGTTCTTAATTCTTAATTCAGATTCTTAATTCCTGGGATGCCAATTTTGAAGATAAGGTGCTCAGAAAATGTGGTAACTTTGGTTGGGATTTTTCTCAGAAAAAGTGATAACTTTGGTTGGGATTTTTCTAATCTATCTTTAGGCTGATGGTTTACTGTACTTTATGGGCAGGATTCTACTTTAGGATGAGATGAATCATGCTGTAGAAATACTTGTTTCTCTCCTTTGACTTAAAAAAGAGCCGAGGATAGACTAGTTCTGATACGAGTCTGCATTTGAGCAGATGAGTCCAATCCTTAATGTTTTTAACCTTTCCTTCTCAAATGCTGGCTGTAGATCGCTCTTACAGACCTTGCTCTACGGGCAACAATTTCAAGCATGATACAATGCCACGGAGAGTAATTTCAGGCTCTTTTTCATTCCAGGATGAAATGGGTTGGCAAACAATTGTAGTGACAGCTTGCATAGAAATTGATTTGCTTGGAATTCTGTCCCTGACCAGGTTTTTAATTGTCGTGTTCAACAGAGTTTAGGGTTTGGAATAAAAAAGAGATATGGAAACATGTAAAGTCAGTCTTACAAATAAACAGACAGGATTTGTTCTTGGTTACCTGTTTAGAGACAAATGTCGTGAGGAAATGATTACAGGAGCAAAGACTAATAGGAAATAAGTGATGCATGGTGAAATGCAAGGAAAAGGGCAGTTTTCTCTGGGAAGGTGGGAAATAACACAACAGCTCTTCTTTCCTATCTAGTTTGATACATGAATTGTCCTCAAGAGATAAATACATGCAAGAGTTTGATTGAATCATGATTTGTATATCTAATAACTTCCACTTTCTTAAAAGGTCATAGGAGACAAGTATACCTCTTCACAGTTCAAATGTCAGTTATCTTATGTCTGTTTTAGTTCCAGGTCTGACTGGAGTCATTATGGTGTTAGTATTATTCCTAATGTGTACAGCTTCTACGTATGCCATCAGGTAAGACATGATCTGATCATTATGCTTAAAAATGCCATTTGAGTAATCATATTCTCATACTGATTAGAGAGAATGAAGAGTAAATGCAATATGAGGCAAGAAGTATTTAAATGAGTGTTAAAAATACCACTTTTCTTGCCCTATTTTTTTTTTACTAGCTTGCAGGTAAATTAGCACAGTGAATTTTTTATTCAAAAAATTACAAAACCTGATTAAATTGCCTTCAGGGAAAAATATTGTTTGAGGAATGTGCTCAGTTAAAAATCTAGACCTTTAAAAATTCAAATAGTTCTTTTTTCCTGTTTGTACAGGAAGGCAGTAAACTAAGCATATGGAAGGTTCTGTCCAATGCACAAATTAAGTCCACTGGAAGTAAAATAAGATGATATCTTTATCTTAATTATTTTCACCAATTAATTGTAACAACAAACTGTAAAAAAACAGCAACAAAAAAAACCAGCAACGAAGCAAACCAAAACAGAATTGTGCTACTTAAGTAGAATGTTGCTTTTTTTAAAGCTCTGCTTCTGGTTGTCAGATACATTCTTTTTAATGTCGATTATAACTTTGAAACAGCAATGCAGTATTGGCTCAGAATAGCTGCTGGGATTTCTAAAGGTTTGGTCCTCCAGTGGGTTCACGTTCTGCACCAACATTATTGAACACATATTATAGTACATTTGAGTCACTGGTACCTTGGAGGATCTAGCCCAACGTTGCAGCCTTTTTAAGGCTTGGATTCTGCAACTGAAGCATATAAAAGAACCCTTCATTTTTATAGCAGTCTCTGGTGAATTCAAAGACTGATTATGTAAATACATCATCTCAATTCAGCAAACACTGAAGGATATTTTAATTCCATAGCTTCAAACATTAATGGTGCTCCACTGATATGAGCTAGGTACGTGGTTTTGAACTTTGTTGAACTAATCTGTCTTTCCTGAGTAGCAATGTTATCAGGTGCTGATTCAGGAAGGTAGTTCAGCAAATCCTTGTGCACTTGTTGTAGACAAAGATACTTTCAGGTTTGAGACCTTTGTGAGGAACCGTAGGCTACAGAAGTGCAGGGTAGGACTGCTGCACAAGATGTCAGACATGGCTGCACGTTACATAGTCCACACAGATGGCTCTGCTTGCAAAAGAAAGCCAGTTTTGGGAAGATGGAAAAATAAAACAATTACTTCACTCTGCAGCAGTGAGCCAGAACAAAGTCCTGTTTTCTCCAAGGCTGTGATAAATTAGAAAAAAAAGAACAGCATTTATTAATGATTGAGAAACTTAGGAAAATATATGTAGTTGCAAACATATTCTTGGAAATAATAATTTTGGGGTTCATGCAGCAAAGGTTTCCATCTTTCCAAGTGACATGCTTGTTATTTCCTTCTTCAATTACTGTAAGTGCAAGTGCTTTCCCACCTTTCTGCCATCTAGCCAGCAGAATCAAAGCCTAGCGATAATTCTTATTTAGAAATTTTATCCTGGCTTCTCCCTCAGGCATATGGCTCAAGCTTGTCTTTATAGTGTTTTCGTAAGGAAAGAAACTTCCATGTGCATCTTTCTGTCCCTTTTCAATCTCTTTGCCTGTGGATTCTCACACACCTTATGATGGCTAAACTCACGCTATAGTCTTAGGAAAATTAATTGTAAATGTTCACTGCCTATCAGAAACTGGGCTTTTTAAAAAGTATTTCAGAGACTGTTGCACCCTTTTGGATTTCAGCCCTAATCCGCTCTTGCACACTGACCTCTTTAATCATTTCTTCCTTCATGTGTTCTTCCTGAAATTTTTCTATGCGTGACTATCCTGCTATTTTTGCACCTTTACTTGGTCAGCAAACTGTGTGAATAAGTATTAGGAGGATTGAATTAGCTGCTAATGTTTTAAAGGGGGAAAGTGAGTATTGTCTGAAAAATTTTCTAAATTTTTGCCGTGTCATACCTGAGTATTAGACCAACATTTTTTGTTCAGTAGTTGTTTGTTGGAAGGGTTATGACGTTAGTAGAAAATACAATAAATCCTGTGAATAAACTTTGACATTTTTGCTAACTTTCATATGAATGTTGTTCAAGAGTATTTCCATTGAACACAATTACTAGTGACTTTGGAAATCATATATTTAAAGGAACATTAAAATATAAGCTGCTCCGATGCCATCTCTTTTTGTAACCAAATATTCCAGTCTTCAATTTCTTCTTCTAAACTACCACATATAGCTTCCTTTTCAAAACTAAGAGTGTTAAAAATAGTTTTCCAAAACTGTGCTGCTTACTGTGTCCCTTTAAAGCATGGCAATCTCCCCTTAGATTTCTTGGTAAGTTAACTCTTGCAGGTCTTCGCCTGCAAAATTCTAAAGTAGATTAGCCAAAATTAAATATTCAACTTGATCTCAAATTTTCAGGACTTTTGAGTTCCTAAGAAATGCATTCATTCTGTGAATAATGTCTATTTTAAGCCCTAAGAAGAAGGTAAAGAAAGTAATAAATGTTCTGAAGAACTATAAAAATATATATGGAGAAGTAGGAAGATTATTGAGTGTATTAGAGTAGTGTATGTATCTGTAGGACACAGTTTAAGAAGGATACAAGTAAGAAATATATAATTATTAAAATGTTGAAAAATATGCTTTGTGGTGAGATTCAAGGATTTCCATCCTTTTAGTTTAAGGAAGTGAAGTTGAGAGGACTTGATTACATTTAGTGGAACTTGATACATGTGAGGAACCAGGATTTTATAGTAGAGGTATCTGCAGGAATGCTGAAAGAAAAATGAAATGCGCAACTGGCTGGAAGCTGACATTTAGACATATTCGGAGAAGAAGTGTATGGTAATTTTAATCAGTAATAATATTTAGCTGTTGAAAACAACACGTCAGAAGCTGCGATTGACTTTCCATCACTGAAATTTTGAAAAATTGGTGCATTCTGAAAAAAGTGCTCAAGATCCAGTAAAAAATAATTCAGTGTGCAGCTTTTGGTATTGTAGCAAGATACCAAATTAAACCAGAGCTCCAAGACCTGTTTTGGGTCTGGGGGTAAATTGTATTCTCTTTGTGCCTTCTCATTGTGCTTCCACTCCCCACACCATCATCCTTTACTTTCATCTTACTGATGTTCACTCCCACAACTCCTTACAGATACTGATGAGTGACTGCATGGAAACGCCTACCAGGAGATGGGGGTAGTTAGAAATGGTTTGAGCAGCCTCAAGGAGGAAAAAGTGTTAGCGTGGTGCTGAATGGGGGAAGGATGGCAGAGTGAAGGGGGGGGTTCAGAGCCCCTTGCTGTTGCTGGGTTCCTTAGAACTGCCCTTGCTTGGGTTTTATTTTGGTGGCCCTCAGATTATCAAAATTATTTTTTCTGTCTTGAGAAAGAAAACAAGTAAGTCCTGTATTGACAGAAACAAATTGATCTGAGCCGTGTGTGTTTCAGATGTATTGAAGCAAGGGTAGTTAGCTGTTTATGAAAAAGGCCATAGGAGCAGAAAAAATTCTGAAAAAAGTTAGCTATGTTGGAGGAGTAGCTTCTTAAACTATGTTCTCAGAGTTAAGGTTGTTTTTTAGTTAATAATTGTTTTGGCTTATGAATGGGGGTAGGTTTTTTGGTTTTGGAAAGGACTCTCCTACCATGCTGTGTAGTGTGAGAGGTGTGTTTGTGTACTATGAAGTAGAGTATTTTCTTAACCATTTGGTTGTTGTTGTTTTTTGGTGACTATTTTACTCAAGAAAAAACAAACAGGCTTAACAGAAAACACTTCCAGATGGGTATTTTCTTTGGTCTTGGTTCTTTTTACATTACCTAACAAATTACTGATGAAAGGAAGTCTTCTTTCCCCTTCACCTCTCCTGATCCCCACAGTGGTAACGTTCTTCTTGTTCCTCCCAAGACCATCGATCCTAGAGCCCCAACGTATGTGGCCTCCTGCCCTCAAAATTCTCCTGCCTGTCCTCTTGTTGCCTCCTTGCTCTAGTTCCCTTTCCTCCTGTGTCTCCTTCCACTCCATATCCTCACAAGTTTCTTTTACCTTTCCCACCAGCCCTTCTGCTGCTGTCTCTGGTACCTGTTTGTAGGTTGTACCAGTAGTGACAGATTAAACACCACAGCCCTGTATTGGGGCAGGGAGAACGCAAGGAGGCACTCACTGTAAAGAGGTTGAGTTTTGAGCCTGGAGACTGAAGAACTATTCTAGCTATAAGGATCTGATAGGGACTAAGTAGGACCTATGAAAGCAGTGAAGTCTCCTAATTTAGGAACAGTTCTTCAGCTGGCTCTGTACTTCTATGTCCTTCATTTCTCTTTCTCAGCTTTTTACTTCTGTGCCAGTCACCTGTTCTTCTCAACACTTAATTGCTTGCAAGTACAGTGTGCCTGTGGGAATACATACTGGGCTTTGACTATTCTACATGACTACGTGGTGTATAATGATGTCCTATGTGCACAGATCTGCTTTTAATTAGCAGTGATTCCATCTGAGTGAAACAGCATTGAACCATGGTTTATTCTTTTCAGGGTTTCAAACTATGACATCTTCTGGTATACACACAACCTTTTCTTTGTCTTCTATATGCTGCTGATGCTACATGTTTCTGGGTAAGTAAATGGAAAATACTGTCCCTTTTCCTGAAGCACAACCAGAAAGAGCAGTTCCCTTGATTACTGCCTTTCCCGAGCTCGCTTGTGCACAGTGGGCCAACTTCTTGACAAGATACTATGCTCTTCAGTTTTTCAACAGGTTATTGTTTAAATAAAGTTCAGATTGTAGCTTGGAGAATTGTGTGTTACTACAACCAGCTAGCACAAACTTCTTCACTTTCAAGTTTATTCCTTGTCCATGATACCAGTTTCTAGTGGGAAATAAAGAAAACATTATTGTTTCTTTTCTGCCCCCTCTTACCTGGCTGCTGAGAGGAGAACGTGAAGCAAAGTTGCTCATCCTTTTCTCTTTCCTCTCTACCTTCCGTTTTGACTCCTAAGGAGAGGGGAGGAGCGACCTCTCCCTAATTATCTCTTTCTCATTGCTCTGATACAAAATTTACTAGTTTTTCTTCTTGTTTTCACAAACATCAGACCAGTGTTCATGTGCCATGGGGCTGATGATCAGGTCTGTATCTGGCACAAACAAGTCCAGCTGTACCGCAAGGTAGAGCAGCTTCCACAAGTTACGCTGTGTGAAAATCTGGTCCATTAATGTCTCTGAAGTTTCCTTTGTGGATGTAGGTGCAGAGATTGGTATAGGGAAGGGAAGGTGTATTTGAACGAGGTTTATTTCTCCATGTCATCAAACATCTACTGAAACATGGGGTGCTGGAATGTCTGTGCGATACTCAGCACCACTGCTTAAAGTAAACAGTGAAAAGTAATTAGGCCTAGCAAGATCACAGTAGGAATATGTTGCTGAACAAAACAAACGCAGCTTGAGATCTGGTGAATTGAAATAATGAGTTCAAAACAATTGAAACTCCTGGACATAATTCCAGTTCTCTGTGTTTTGTTTTTTTTTGTTGTGGCATAGCTCTTGTTCATAGCTGGGGAAGATGGATCTAACCTATTCTCCCCATCCTGGGGCAGGATGAACTTTTGCTAAATTATTCTTGACGGGTGTTTGTCTAACTTCTTGAAAACATCTGGTGACTGAGATCCTCTAACCTCCCTAGGCAATCTGTTCCAGTGATTGCCTTCGGAGTATTTTTCATGCCTAGTTTAATTCATCTCCTTCACTGTATTATCCTTTGCCCATTGTCTTCCTAAACATGTTGCCACTTCATGAAGGAAGAAGTCTCGTTGGAGAAGTTTGCAAACCAAGGCTGCAGGAATACACCAAGTGTTAAACAGGCATCTTCTTGTACACAGCCTCCTTAATATTGAATTGGAAAGCCTTTCAGTGAGAATGTGGAAGAACTGAGTGTCAGTTAAAAGTGGAAGAAGAATGAGTCATGGAGAGTGGGAGTCAGTTCAAGTTTAAGATGCCTAATTGTAGGTCTACATGTTTTCTAAGTGCCTGTCTCCCATTATAGTCTAATGAGTTCTAATAAATACAGTCAATGGAGCCTCGAGAATGCTTCAGCTAACCTGCTGCTACAAGTATCTACATTCAAGTGAGCTGGATTGATTTCTGGGCTCCATTGGTGATATTGATTAGAAGATCTCTTCTGAGAATAAAGTAAGCTTAGACACCCATGCTTAGGTGGCCAGGTGACTCCTACATGGCATGTCCTAGAGATTTGCAGACACATGGCCAGTTACTCTATAGAGCAAGGCATTTCCTGTGGCTGGAGTGTGCAGGCAGATTGGGTGAGGATTTACCTGTCTTGGGAGTCTCTCCTTTTGAGTATTTCCACAGTATTCCTGGATTCTTGTTTTGTTTCAAACTATTACAGGTGTGTTCTTATAGTATCCTCTTCTTCAGGGTAGCCAAGCACTTCTCAGCAGTATATAAAGTGACATGATTCATCCGTCATATGTTACTGGTTTGTTCTTTCGTCCCTACCCTAAGGGAGAGGAGAATCTTTCAGGGAATTATCCTTAAAGACTTTCGTTGCTCTTGTATTTCTTGCAAAGTGACTTTCAAATATTTTAGTGGCTTAAGGCTTGGTGCATATCTTCATTAAATTGTCTGTATTTTAAGCCAGCAATAGCAACAACAAAAAATAGTTTATGTGAAAACAGAAGCTTGATGTTTCTAGTACCAATATAAGGAGCTATAAAACATACAAAACATTTGGAGCCCGATCCTCAGCTGATCCAGATTTGGTATTACTGTGGAGTTCAGTGGGTTATGCTGGTTCATAGGAGCTGAGAATAAGAGTCATTAGAGTTATCCAAGGATTTATCTTCCAAAGGCTGAAAATTCTTAAGATTCCGCCCACACATTGACGTTTAGGAGACCCCTCAAGCAACTCACCTTGAGTTGAGCAGCGGAATATGGATGAGAAGATAGGAGCAATGTAGTTCCCTATAAAAACATTGAGAACCATTGACCTCTAGCTTATCATCATAAAAATCTCAAGAAACAGTGATATATATATTTTCCAGCTGTAGCCAGAAGTGAATGTTGTTTCTATTTCAGGGGTGGAAAATTGGGGCAGAGGTTGATGTATGCCGATGCAAATAGACTGCATCCTGTGTTGCTCAGCCAGTAGGATACTTCCATATGACTTGCCCTTTTTGTCCCTCCCATTTTTGTTTGCTAAAGATGCCTGTGTCCTATTTACTGACATCCACATATCGATTTTTATGTATTCAAGTGTTGTACTGAATAAATATGAGGATAGCTCTTAGGCTCCTTAAGAGTTGTGCAGAACTCAACCTTTCTGGGAACTGATCTTGGGTGTGTAAGAAAACTTGCCTTTCCTTGACAGCTTCAGAAATGGGAGTCATTGCAGCTGCCGTCAACAGGCAGCTTTGTCATCCCAGTTTGCCACTCAGTTAGCATGTTTGTAATAGTTTAAACAAACTAGAGATTACTGGAGGGGATGCTCATGTTTGCAGTTCAGCTATTCATGTCTCAAGGAAAACTTTGAATCCTCTTTTGGGATGTTCTGAGAACAGAGAAGCTGTGAGAGCAGCTGGCAGGCATGCACACAAGGTTGATTGAAAAAATATCGCACGTGCTGTGACTTCCAGCTAAATCCACGAGGCACCATAATATTTATGGAGCAGGGAACTAGCATAATGCTAGGGGTATCTGTCACTTTGCAAATATGTGATGACCAACAGTGATGCCAGATGCAAGCGATAGGCATGATCGGGCAATAAATACAGACAGAAGCCTGGGTGTAGGCACACAGACACCTCCCAAGTGATTCTCCCAGGGTCGGACGTGGAGTTTAGTGAGCAGATTTAACTTCCAAGCTGTACATTATTCACTGGACCATGCAGGAAGCTTGTTACTAGCTGTCAGGACTGCATTTCAGTAGGGAAGATTGCCAGTAGCCTGTCGGAACCCATTTAAGTTGGGAATAGTGCAGATATCCTACTTCTTTCTCTTCTTGTGAATTAAACTCTGTCACTGCTGCTGCTGTGTGTGTGTACGTTGGGAAGAGGAGCAGGGAGCATATGTCCTTATGTTTGATTGTATACTTGAGATGAGCCTTCACCACATGGCCTAGCGCTCGGAGGGCACGTCTCACCAGACATTGTGTCAGTGTGCCTTATTTCCCACCCAGCACCATCCTATACAGCTGTCGTTTAGCCCTTTGGTTTTTTAAATATTCCTCCTTGTGGTTTTACTGTCATCAAATCCAGATTTGGAGGCAAGTAGTACTTCCGAGGAATTTTATTACTAGTATTATCGGTTCTTCCCCGTTTTGAATGATTCATTCATGTGTTGAGATATCCCAGAGTGTCTCAGGTTTCCACTTTTTTCTTCATAGTTTCTAGGTGCAGCTGCAAGGTTCTCACTTCATTTTACTATAAATTTAACTTGAGCTTAAAAAACAAGCATTGACCCCGCAAAATAATTTGCAAGAAAGGTTCCTTGGCCATGATTCAGTACTTTCTTTTTTCCTTCTATCTATTTGACAAGATGATATTCAAAGGAGCAAGTTATATCATTGTGTGCAAACCTGATAAACAATGAAGTAATGGGAACATTCCTGCAGTTTATGATTTGGCAACTTAGGCCACTTCTGCTATGGACTGCCTTAAAAAATGGGCCTTGCTGACTGTAGGGAGGATGAGTGAAAACAGCCTGACTGTGATTGAACTGGAAATGTGATTATTTAATTTTTTTTCAAGGCTCCCACAATATCTCCCCCTTTCAAGCAGTATTAAGCTTGAGGCTATTCAGTGGGGGAGTGCCAAGTGAGCTGGAAAAGTTAAACCTTGCCTCTAGTGACAGAGGGCTCTATTGTTGCAAAGCTTCGATCTCATTGAAAGTCCTGAAAGCAAACGGAATAAAAATTCGTACAGAAGATGAGCCTCGTGACTGCTTTCTAAAACCCTCTCTGAATTAAGATAAGTTGCTTGGTCTTGACTGTTACTTCAGTCTCTCTGCTATTTTATTTTCCTGTAGGGGAGTGCTCAAGTACCAGACCAACTTAGAGGAACACCCTCCTGGTTGCTTTAATCCTAACAAAACACTTCAAGAGAATATGACGGTGCCAAAGGCTTTTGAAGAGACGTTTCCTGACTATACTACTGAACCTTTCCCAGAGGACTTATCAGTACCAGAACCCTTTGTACAAAATAACTTTATGAGAATTTGTTCTGAGGAACCCAAGTTCCAGTCACACTTCCCAGAGGTCTGTATGATCCGACGTTTCAGGTATTACAAGCCATGCCAAGTCTTTCAGTCAGCCGTAACCACTAATTATTGCTTTTCCAGACCAGATGTTTTAATAATGGAAAATATTATTAAAACCTTTTCAGGCATTCAAAGATTTGGTGGGGGAAAAACAATCTGTATTAAACTTTGAACTGCATTACAATGTGGTGTATAGAATAGGGTGGAAAAATGTCAAGAGATTGGCTGTAATGTTCTTTTTTGTACGACACGGTAAGAGATGTATTGGTCTTGCTATAAATGTAACTTTAAATTACAGCGTAGCACTTCAGAGCAAACATTTATATAACATATTCATAAGGTCCCTTTGTAAGCTTTGTGTGGCAGTAGTTAATTGAAATAATCAAACTCCATTTGTTCTCTTTTTTTACCATACGGATGCAAGTCCTAATACTCATTTCTGGGTTGCAGTTGGTTGTGGTTTGGCTTTGTATAGCCTGTTGTTTGCAGACAGGATTGTTTTATATGTGGCGTGGGTAAATGAGTATGATGACAGTGGGGATAGAAAAGCCTTTTCTTTTTCTGTTTTCTGTTTTCCTTTTGTTTCTTTATGTTTTGTGGCAGCAGCTTTTTCTTCATCCAAATTTTCTCTTTTCTTTTGAGAAAAGATGAGCCGGGCTGTATTGGCAAGTAGCCTGAGGAAGTTTGGGAATATGGAGTTCACAAGTCCAGGGCCCACCATTCAAGGTGGTCCCATAACAGACCTCACAGGAGTTTCTTCTTATTATTATAATTGTTTTCTGTAGAACACATATGTCCGTTACTAGCTGCAGTGGGAACCCATTTTACTATGGAGCATGTAATCATAATAAGAAACAGTCAGTTCTGCATTGAAGTCCTCCAACAAAATTATTTGGATTTGTATTTTGTTGTGGTAATACTCCTGGATTACAAGTGTCGATGTATATCTGGCTCCATATGACCAACAGGACATCGAACAGTCTTCTTTGGGGCTTAAGATGTCTACTTTAGAGCCATTTATGGGAACAGAAGAGCCGTGGAAAGAAATGGCCACTCAGTGTTCTCCTGACAGCTCATAACATTTTAGGACTTTTTTGGATTTGGAAGTGTTTTATGCACTTAGCGATACCAAGTCTAAAAAAAAAAGCCTTAGGTCTTGTGAGCCACTGAAGTTTTTAAGGCCAGAGGTGCTTGAGGAAATTAATACTCTGTTAGTTGCAAGAGATGCTGATGTGTAACACTAAAAATTGGGAAGGGAAGATGGATGAGGGTCAAGGGCACTTCTGTGCCATGGCTTGAATGACTGAGCAGATGTGGAATTAGTAGCTAGCTCTGCCATAAGCTGTTAGTAATTGACTCTTAGGATGGGATTTAGCTGAGCAGCTGCAAATGTCTCCATCTGAGGTAGTGATCCAGGGCTCCCCATATAATCAATGCAGAGAAATGGGCATTTTCAGGGCATTATTTGACTAGCATACGCACCTTCCACGGGGGCAAATGAATCGTGATTCGAAAGTGCCCATTTCTCTCCCTTGTCTATGATTTTACACTAGCTTAATATAAGCATAGATTCTATAGCACAAGAATTGCTTCTTTCTCAGTTTTTTGCTTGTACCTGCGATGATTAAAAGAAGGCAATAGTCAAATAATATTGCAAGCCAGAAAGTGTTTTTCCATAAAGGTTAACCAGTTTTATAGTACTCCGGTCTGTTAGATTTTGAAACAGTGTATGTACTGTGTCATTCACTGCTGAAACCAGTTGCAATCTAACTACATAAAACCAGAGTAACGTGGTTGCAAATGAGGTCATTAGCATTTTGTTCCTGATGAGTTTTATGATTGAAATCATTTGTGCTTGTGCGTGATGCTGCTGGTTAGACTGATTAAGCCTCCATAGCGTGCTTGGATTCCTGCACGTAGAGAGATGTGGAGGTTGCTTGTGACCAAAACACTGTTCCACAATAGTTGTGAAATGAGGTCCTGCAAGCAGTCATGTAGTTTTGAAATTAGAAAACATAAAATGAAAAGTCCTTGAGGTAACGTATTTTTGTTCTCCCATAGACCTGGTTTTGGATTTCTGGACCTCTGTGCTTGTACTGCGTGGAAAGGCTGTACCGCTACATCCGCAGCAATAAACCGGTCACAATAACTTCAGTGATAAGCCATCCCTCCAATGTCCTCGAAGTAAGGATGATGAAAGCCGACTTTAAAGCAAGGCCTGGTCAGGTGAGTTAACGTGCCTCCAAAAAATCCCTGCTGTTCATGTAGCATCATCTGTAGGGATGACTTTCACTTTGTATGTACTAACCCATCACTGAATGTTTTGAACGTATCTTTTCTATCATTTTATTTTCTCTGGCTGATTTTGTTTCAGTATGTTATTCTACACTGTCCAAGAGTGTCCACACTGGAAAGCCATCCATTCACCCTTACAATGGTAAGAAATATGATTTTTTTCTGTATTTTCCCTTTTATTTATATTTGGTAAGCAAATGGTGTTTATTGCCTTCAAGGTGAAAATTCCCTCCAGAAGAGCTTATGTTTCATTTATGAGGGTGTCAGTGATTATGAAATGGGATGATTATTATGTATGACAGTACTCAATACATATTTAATTTTCTCCACTGTTGAGAAAATGATAATGGGAACTTTTTTCAAAGTCTTCCATAAGTGAAACACAATAATAAATAAATAAATAAATAAAATCCATGTGATTTTGATCATTGTTTCATAAAAGAAGTTTCAGATGTTTTTGTAGACCTTAACGCAGAATGAGCACAAACTGAAATAAATTTTCTGTCGTTGTTCCTATTCAATGAAAAGACATTCCTGCAACTGCCTTTACTGAAGTTAGAAAAACATCAAGTTTAAAAAAGAAGTTTCTAAAATAGTCTTCTGCTTTATTTTTATATTAAGACATACATCGATGAGTTAAAGTGATATACCAGTGAAGTCATACAACATTGGGATTATTACTTACTCAGCTCAATTGATCTAGAATGGGAACTGGACCCCTGGAGACAGACTGGAATAAAGTGAAATTGTATATAAATATATCTGAAGTTCTGCCGGAGTGAGCAGTGCAGAGGCCTGGGAGATGCTACCAGAAAATCTCTGTACTGCACTGGCTGGGTTGTTACAAACCTCAGAGTCTAAGGTTGAAGTCTAAGGTTGAATATTAGTGGCAGCCTTTTCCTTCCAAAGGGAATAATTTAGTATCACCTGAAACTGATATTCTTCTTCAAGAAGACCATGGAGATAAATATTCACGTTTGACTGATAACTGATACTTTATCCCCAGTGAATTGTATCTAGTGCTATGGAACAGCTGAGATGTTTTAATGTTACTTGAGATTCAGAGGGCACACCCAGGTCCTGTCCACTCCCAGCTCTTTGGTTTTGTGGGGTGTTTTGTTTTGTTTTGTTTGTTTTAATTTATTTATCTATATGCTGAGCCGGCAGGCAGGTACTGTCACAAGGGAACCCACACTAAATTCCATCCAAAATAAATTTTGTGCTGTAAATCTGGGAGTGAATCTCACTTAAAGGAAGCTGCCTCTGTATAGCTCGATGAAGCAATATTGGCACTTGCATAGCCTGATTTTTGCAAAATTTTCCTGGCTATTCACTTAACCAGTAGAGGCGTGTGTTATTTATCTGTTGTTAACTCCAGTAGGCAATTTTTAAGGCTTTCCTCTGTATAGTGCGTGAAGATAACTAGATGTGCAATACTGAAAAATGATGTGCATTGCAGTACTGATGGAATGGTAGCTGTTCTCTTGTGCAGAATGATTCAGTCAGTGTTTATTTGTATTTTTTATTAGCTTAGTGATCAGAAAATAAATTTAAAGAACTTAGCATAAGTCTCAGATTGCTCTTAACACTTGTTTGGCCCTAGCATAGCTATATTTAATAAAGTTACACCTGTTTTATACCAGTGGACATATCTTATTTAAACATTAATCTCAAAACATCATGTTCTTGATTTCTGACTGTCCATCTCAGTGGAAATTAAAATAATGGCAATAATTTGGTCATTAGTAGTAATTGCACAGTTTGGAAACTATGGGACCGTTAAAAAGATTTACTCTTCTTATTTTAGGACACTGCTAAAACAATGGATCATGTGGTTCTAATTTCCAGAAATAATGTCATCAAAGGATATTAGGCCTGGTTCAGTAGTCTTTTCTCTGGCAGAACTTCTTATTTGTTATGATGAGAGTTTTTATCAGAAAAGGGAATGCTGACATGGGCCTACTGGGTTAAATCATAGGATGAAGTTGAATAGGATGTTTTATTGAAGTCAGATTCTTTGCATGGGTTGAGGATTTCATCCAGTTTTTAAAATGGCATACTATAATAATGGATGTTACGAAAAAATATTTTTGCACAAAACCTTCTAGATCTGGGAGCTATGGAAAATAGATCTCTTGTTGTGAGTCTGAGTTTTCTTAGTGAATATAACTCATTTATATTCAGATAATGTGCAGTATATTTCAGATATATAAGTCTGGTTGATAAATTACAGTTTGTGTAATTTTTACAGCCACGTATTAAATATGTAATGTTAGAACTAGCAATTTCCACTCATGCAGAATGCATTATATTTTAAGTATGTAATACTAGACTGGGCAATTTCTGTTCATGCTCAATGCTTTATACTTTAACGTACATTGATATCCTTCAGCATAACAGCATATCCTTCAAGATCGCATACATGTTTTAACTATTACAAGATATGAAGTTACCACTGAGTTACTGAGCTTCATTTTTATTGCGACAAACATATTTCGGTAGAATGTCAACTATGCTGGAGAAATGCTGTTACTGGGCAAATGGCTGTTTTACAGCATAATGAGGATTTGAAATGTCTAGGTTTATGGCAATCTTTTTGCCCAGCCTAAGCAGGGGACAGTCATTTCCACATGTCTTTCTAGGTCATAGAATATGCCTTGGGCTGCTGTCCTGCTTAAAAAGCTTTTTTGTTGTTGTTGTTTAATATGATGCCAGACATGGGACTGTGCTTATAGAGTGTGTAGGCAATAGCTTAACTCAGTATTTTTTCTGCTCCCATCTGACCTACTTGTAGTTACCAAGCAAGCTGGAACACTACTGCTGCTTCTTTTGTTGGATGATGATAATCTCTGGGTTATTTTTCTAGGCTGGTGTAGGAGCGTGGGGCTCAGAGCCACAGTGAGAGCAGCATGAGGGGCGTGTGGGGCTTCGGATGCTGGAAGCGCAGTGCAGCGATGACTGCAGCAGGGCTAGGGGGAAGGCTGCAGCCTTCTGCTGCTGTCCTGCTTATAGACTGATGTTTCATCAGTCTAAGCTGATGAAACATCTCACGGTGCCTGGAGTATGCTTAAAAGGCAAAAAGTGACCAGTTCAAGCATATCTTTATACTCTAAACGAGGACTGTAAGCAAAAGCAGAAAGGAAGGGGTGAGTCAGCGTGGAGTCATGCAGATATTTTACTAGTCCCTTCCCTTTTCGAGATTGTGTCATATTTACAGTTTAGCTCAGTTTCTTACATAATGTCGGGATGGAGGAAAACACTGGGAGGCTGTGTAAAGGGCCTGAACCCACTCCCATTGCACTCTGGCAAAGCTCCCACTTGTTTCACTCGGAGCCAGAGGGAGCTCTGAATCGTAACCAAGTGAGCATAAAGAGGTAAGCATTGTTCAGAAATGTGTGCATTGGCGTTTATTTTCTTTTCCTTTTTGTCATTTGAAAGCGTTCTTCCCCCTGCTAATGGAGGAATGAGCAGAAGTCATTGGTACAAAATGCACACGGGAATTTGGAGAAGCAAAATCCATGTTGCTCTGAACTCAGAGCTGCCAGTCTGGCTTCTTTGCTAACCTGTGACCTGGCTCTGCTGTCAAAGACTTCATGTCACTGAATCACAGAATGGTTGAGATTGAAAGGGACCTCTGGAGATCATCCTGTCCAACCCCCCTGCTCAAGCAGGGCCACCTAGACCCAGTTGCCCAGGACCATGTCTGGATGGCTTTTGAATGTCTCCAAGGATGGAGATTCCACAACCTCCCTGGGCAACCTATTTCAGTGCTCGGTCACCCCCACAGTAAAAAAGTGTTTCCTGGTATTCAGAGGGAACCTCTTGTGTTTCAGTTTGTGCCTATTGCCTCTTGTCCTGCCACTGGGCACCACTGAAAAGAGCCTGACTCCATCCTCTTTGCACCCTACCTTCAGATATTTGTATACATTGATAAGGTCCCCTTAAGCCTTCTCTTCTCTCTATTTCAGTGCTCGGTCACCCTCACAGTAAAAAAGTGTTTCCTGGTATTCAGAGGGAACCTCTTGTGTTTCAGTTTGTGCCTATTGCCTCTTGTCCTGCCACTGGGCACCACTGAAAAGAGCCTGACTCCATCCTCTTTGCACCCTACCTTCAGATATTTGTATACATTGATAAGGTCCCCTTAAGCCTTCTCTTCTCCAGGCTGAACAGACCCAGCTCGCTCAGCCTTTCCTCACAGGAGTCATGCTCCAGACCCTTAATCATCTTCCTGGCCCTTTGTTGGACTCTCCCCAGTATGTCCATGTCTCGTAGTGAAGAGTCCAGAACTGGACACAGTGCTCCAGATGTGGCCGCGCCAGTGTTGAATAAAGGGGAGGCATCACCTCCCTCGACCTGCTGGCAATGTCACTTGTACACTCTGAAGTTCAGGCACTCGGAGAACCCAATTTTCTCTCATGAACGATGTGGAAGCTGGCATTTTTTAAGTCCATTTTTGAAGCATGCTTCCACTGTTTTTTATTCACTAGTGTGACTTTGTATTCACTAGTGTGACTCCTTGACTTTGTTATCCATTGGAAAGTCTGGGAATGGTAATGAAGGGATGACCCAACGTCTGGGATTCCTGCAAGTGACCTGCTGGCCAGTTCTAGGTAGTTCATAGTGGACTACTAGCTTCATATTGTCTTCATTGCTCCATTGTTTTTGATTTCACTTTGACAAAATGCTTTCTTTTTAACATGTTTTACTGTACTTCTTTCACCGGTTTCTATACACAACTGTACACAACTGTTACTATGCTGTGTAAAACAGTGTGAGTAACATTTTCAGTCCTGTACTCCCTTGCGTCCAATTTACTTATTTTAGATAGGATATTATTGCATCTTACAGTTGAATATGAGCAGAATACTGTCAGCTCCAAGATATTTTGATCTGTAGTGGGGAGAAATATTTTCTGTAAATAAATATTTTAGTTGAGGGTTTGTAAAGGGACAGGTGATTTTTGTGTGTTTCCACTTGATGAACTCTTAAGGAGATTTGTCTTTCAGACCAAGTGCACAATATGGTCTGGAGATCAGACCATCCAAAGAAACATCAGAAATCTTCTCTTTAGTGCTCTGCTTCCCAAGACGGACATTTCTTTATACTTCTGTGGAAGAAAGTGTGGAACTCATCTGCTGTGGA